TCACACCAAGCATGCATGCAGTGACAGTGGAGAGGAAAAACTCCCTTTTAAAAGGAAAAAAACCTCCAGCAGAACCAGTGTTAGCGACAGAAGCAGAAAGACAAAAGGAAAAAAGAAGCACTAAAGCGTAAAAAAATTCTGTTAGAAAAGGTATTAGGTATTAGAGTATTAGGGCCAGGCTAAAGATTTGTTTTATTTTATGAATAAAGTCTTAACATTATGAGAATAAAGCTGTAATACTACTAGAATGAAGTCATCATACAACCCGTTTCAGAAAGAAAGCTTGGAGCTCCGACCAGCTCCACCAAACAGCAGCCTGACTCAACTTTGACCTACTGCCCGATTTGATGCTGGTGCTAAAAGATTTCCTTATTTGTCAAACCAGAGCCAAAGTTTAACTTCACATAATGCTCGCATCCCTCATTTTAGTGAAGAAGGTGCTTCTTGTAAGAGTTGCCATAAAATACAACTTGTTTCTAGTAATTTTAGGACTTTATTCTCTTAATATTATGACTATATTCTTCTAATTTTTACAACTTTACTCTTATAATTTAGGACTTTATTCTCATATTTCACGGCTTTATTCTCGTAATGCTACGAATTTATTCTTGTAATTTTATGACTTTATTCTCCCAATTTTATGACTATTCTTGTTGCGACTTTATTCTTGTTATTTTATGACTTTATTCTCGGAATTTTACGACTTTATTCTCATATTTAACGGTTTTATTCTCGTAATGTTACAAATTCATTCTTGTAATTTTATAACTTTATTTTATCACAATTTTATGAATATTCCCGGGACTTTTTTCTTGTAATATTATGGCTTTCTTCTAGCAATTTTTCTGACTTTATTCTCATAATTTTACAACATTATTCTCGAAATAGAAGAAAAAAAAAATCTCTATCCTGGCCCTAATACTCTGCCGTATAAACTATATCCACATGTGGTTCTGTCAATGAAAGAAACTATCAGATCAGCTCTGAATCGGTTTTCATGCCAGGGGAATGAAATAAAGCACATGCCTGTTAAAGATAGGCTCTGTGTGTCTACACCTAGGAGCTTTCTCTCTCCATTTCTTTTCCCAGAAAAGAGATCACTCGGGACAAACTCTTTAAGTAACACTTCATAACTTATATGTATTCAATAACCAGGAGACATGACAACAGATTCTGATAGCAATTTTAATTTTACTCCGATCAGAGAAGTTGCTTAGATTTACAGAAGGCCTCTGTAGAAATTGGCCCTGATAAACAGTTAAAGAGATATTTTATACATCTCCAGTCTGCCACATTATCACTTTGTTACATTAAACACGTTAGCAGATGAGGAGACATCCATGGCTCCAGTCTTATCAAAATATTACACTTTATCTTAGCTGAAGGACGCCGCTCTCATTCCATTCCCAAATCTTTGCCAAATACAAAATGAAGATTATAACTGTGTATCGGGACAGAGAAACTGTCTTAATCAGATAAACTATTGTGGAAAACATCAGTTCTAACACGCAGCAGGCAGCTAATATTAAGGTATAATAAACTCACACATCATCAATGAAAATGTTCCTAACATACTGTTAGTCACATTGAAAGCTGAGCCCATGGCTATGCGTAGGAGAGAAACAGGACCAAGCACAGAAAAATAGGCCAATACAGAAGTGCACTGCAGCAAAACTTAAAAAAATAATTAAATAACTGGGTAAATATATTCAGTTACCTACCACCTCTGGATTAGAAGCTTACAAATTCAATGTGCCCATTAAAAAAATGTTATGTAAGACTTTCTCACAGATACGACAGATGGTTTGTGAAAAGTGAATCTAACCCCCAAACTTTCTATTTTATCAATATGCATGAAGGGGTATTATGTTCTGAAGGGGCGACTCTCCACCACAGTGAAAACTGATCCTGACTCTCCAATCCAATCAGCTCCCCGAATGTCTCCTTCAATATTAGCTTCCTTTGAGATCTGCTCTGAGGGTAACCTGTTAGTGTCACATCGTGTGAAAAATGCTACGATTGATATATTCTATTCAATTTCCATTGAAAAACAATTTATCAAACTATAAACTAAAATAATTGCACAATGTTGCTTTGTTATTGTTTTATCTTCTTTCCATCAGGTTGTTATCACAGTATTTCTGCTGCTCTAGTTTTCTTATTTTAATCAGGCGAATTAACACCTGCATTTAGGCATACTATGTATAAGTGTTTAGTTCAGCAAAGCCACTTAGGTTACTGACCTATGGGTTTCAGTTCTTTGCCATTACTTTATATTTAAGTCAGATGATGTAGTTTCATTTCCTTTAATTTCCTTTGCAACAAGTTTGAACTAATTTCCCCCTCTAAAGCAGCTCCTATTAGATTTGACTGAATCCTGTGACTGTTATTTCCAAGCACAAAGATCTGAACTGTTTGCTTGCAAACAGAGCGTGCATTAGCTAAATGTCTATGTCTATTCATTATAAGATTAAATTGCAACCATGTCTTGGGGAGACATGTTTTACAAAAAGTTTGTCCAATAAAGTTGTGCCCTTCACCTCACTTCCATTTCTGTTTTTCTTCCTTGTTTCAAGTTAATTTAGTATCTCAAGTAGATTGAGGTTTTGGCTTATTCGGTCATTAGGGATGACCGAATAAGTATGGAGTGAGATTTGTTTCATAATTGTTGCAAGCAAGAAAAAATACATTTTGTAAATGAAAATTTAAAAAATTAACCCAGAAATGAAACTTCGAAAAATGTTTTAATAAAAAGAGGTTTTGATCATAACTTTGCTGTTTTCTTAGTTTTTTTCTTCAAACTTGTTTTTTGTATTTCTTTTTAACATATATATATATATGCTTTTTTTTTTACAAATTCTCTATTTTCTGATTTAATTTTCAAATGTACTTTTTTTTTTTTTTTAAAGATAATTTTACAGATTTTATACTTCTGAAATTCTTTATTGTCATGATGGGTTCAGAAAAGCCCAATATGCAGAACACAACGGAGACTGATGAAAAGTTTAACAGAGTTTATTGAAGCACAAGCACATGTAAGATAACACTGGAACTGGTTCAGGCCTGCGGGCAGGTTCACTGGAGTCTGTGAGGATGACAGTTCAGTTAGCTCTGGAACAAAAAGAGTTTGAGTTTGAGAGTTTCAGAAGAATACCTTGAGGAGTCCGGGTTTTTACTTTGAGAGAGGAACTGTTGGGTCCAGAGACTGTTGAGTTCAGCAGAGTCCAATAACTGCTTCAGCGTCTTACTTCTGACTTGAGGGCAGACCTTGGTTTGGGTTTCCAGCTCTTAGCCAAGAG